CACGGTAAGACCGCAATAGGGATAGCTTACAAGTTTTCAGCAGTTGCATGAGATCTGCATCAACTCCTCCTGCCCTTCTAGTCTTGAAAACTCCAACCCTACTTGTGTGTTACACGGAGCATCAGGTCAAAGCGTATTGCCACGATGGACAAGAAAAGGAAAAAAGAAACTCATGTTTACTCATTCTTAATGGTTTTAATTTTTTTAGGACTAATTTGTGTTAGCCTGTGCATCATCCTGTGAAATTCTTAGACCTACGAATGAGTCAGTGAAGATGGAAATGGTATGTGTGTTAATGTCACTCTCAGGAGCCCCCCACTGGCTAACACAGAGACACAGCAAGTGTTTGTTTTATGTGTGACTGTGCTTAAGTAAACACAATGCCACAAAACCTCTAATTTTATATGAACCCCAAAGGTGCAAGAAGCTGTGTTTATTAAACCTATTGTGAAGTAACAAGGTTATGTAAAAATTGCTATTCAAAAATGGAAATGCTTTTACAACAGAAGGAAATACAGGGGAGATATTTTTCTGAAAATTATTTGGAAGGACTTTTCTTCACAGTCCTTGACTTGGAGTACCAGAGGATCCAAAAAGTCCATTTTCATTATAACTCTCAGATTCTGTCATCCTTTCAAAAAATTATTATTATTAGAATGCCAGTCCACTGACCTTCAACTTCCGCTGAGTCTAATCTGTGCATTTTGGTCATGCCTAGGAGGCAACTGAAATAAAAGCTTGAGGGTTTAAGAAGTGAAGCTTGAAAAAGTTTCTTCCTCCCTGTAAATTAGAAAATAGAAGCTATGTCTTTCCAAGTATTCCAGTTTATTAAATAGCTAAACACACGCTTCGTTTCTAACGAGGGTCCCCACTCAGCCCAGAATGGTTCTGTCTGCAAGGGACGTTTCCACTCAGAGGTCAGCGGGGACTTCCATTGAATCAGAAGGTCTGGTTAGATTGAGTAACTCCACTGAGAAATAGGCACAGTGCGATCCAGGCTTAGAAATGTCCTCATTAAACAGGACTTCAGAAGCTTGCAAATGTTGCCAAATTGAATTTAATGTTGACTACTTTAGGAATGTTGCCAAAGCTGAGGGCTGGCCAAGTTACGGCGAAAAGGCCCAGAAAGAAAATGGAAGATGTTGAGGCCATTGGTTTGCAGAAGTTATTTTTCAAAACATTACCATCCATCTTTGTGTGAGCTTTGTGTGTCCACTGAACAGATGCGTGAACGCCAGCGCCCATGCCTTCACCTACACAGAGAAGGCGTTTCAGTGACACCACCATGTTTGTGTAAGGAACGGCCGGGAACCTTGCATGGGCCCTGTTCTTGGGGTCCCAAATCTGCCAATTACCTCCCTTGGCTTTGCAGGTTCAAACACTCCACAGCTGAAATTCGCAGGCCCTTTCTCTTCAAGCACATTGACAGTTGGAAAGTCAAGTAACGGCATCTTCGGAAAGCTCTATTGTGAGGCTGAATTTGGGTAACTGACACCCATAACATAACAGCATTAAATCACCCATATTTTTAGAGTGGATAAGCTAGTCTGCTTGTAAATATGTTCAAGGATAGCAGAGAGGTGGCAGAAGAATTATGCTACAACTTTACCAACTAATAAATCTTTATTTAAGCAGGGGACCTCTAAAATTTAATTAGGCATATGAAAGCAGAGATCACTCTGAGGGTAGAAATCTGCTGATTCTCACAAGGAAAGACACCTGCTTCATGGAAAAACTGTCAGTTAAAATTTACTCTTCTGTTACTTTGTCAATAGAAGGGCTTTCTGGTAGAAGAGCAAATACCTAACTTAAAAAAAAAAAAGGGCAGAGGCAGACAGGACACATTCTTGGCACAGCCTAGAGGGGCGAAGGAAAGGTTGTGTTCATTGTGAACTGTGTGTGTGTGGTTTAGCTAATTCACGTAGATGTCCCTCCTTTCTTTTCCTGTCTTCCTTCTTCCTGGGTCATGGAGGGGTAGTCAAGGATCAATGGCAGATTTGGTAGGACCCAACAGGTAAGACTGGCGGTCATGTTGTCATTTGAGACCATCCAATGTAGTGCTGCCTCAGCGCTCCCCACCCAGAAACCCGTCCTTCTAAGCTCACATCGCAAAGGACGGCTACACTCAGGTAATCCCCCTCCTTCCCAAATTGAAAACTTATGTATCTAAATTACAATCACAGTAAGTGAGATAAGTCAGACAGAGAAGGACAAATAGATGATGTCACGTATACGTGGAATCTAAAAAAATGACACCAATGAACTTATTTAAAAACAGAAAAAGACTTACAGACACAGAAAAACTTATGGTTAAGGGTGGGGCAAGGGAGGGGAGGGATAAATTAAGAGTTTGGGATTTGCAGATGCAAACTACTGTATATAAAATAGATAAACAGCAAGGTCCTACAGTATAGCACAGGGAAGTCTATTCAATATATTGTAATAACCTACAATGAAAAAGAATCTGAAAAAGTATATATGTAAAATTCAATCACTATGCTGTGCACCAGAAACTAACACAACGTTGTAAATCAACTATACTTCAATAAAAAACAAAACAAAACAAACAAACAAACAAACAAAAACCAATTAGCCCTTGAGCCCTTTAATGGATTATAACGTCTCAGTACCTAGTAAGGCTCCCTTTTAAAACGCAGAGACCACTGGGGCTGGTTTAATTCTAATTCCAGACTCTCTAACTTGAGATTGTATCTCTTCTTGATTTCCCTTTTGAGAGAAGGGCTTCCGTCAGTACAGCAGAAAATGATGTCCTTGGGAAGGAAAACAACACGCTTTAAACATTTCTTACGGTCTTGGAGCAAATTTTCTCCTTCTGTCACTACAGCATCTGGTAGACACTGTGGAGGAAGACAGTTAAGTTAGGGCTTGTACTTGCAGGGAATATGATCTACTTCGGGAGATGAGACGTGAACACTTGAAGCAGGCGGCAGCATTTCAATCGTAGAAGGTACAGCCCGCGGCGGTGCGTACATATGCACCACAGCACTCAGATAAATAACTCTTCAGTTTTTTTTTCTTTTCCCTATGGGCCAACCTCTGTCCTTGAGCCAACAAGGCTGTTTAGGTTCTTGTTTGTTTTTCATTTCTTGGGAGTCCTTCATCCAAGAACAGGATAATATATTTTCACAAAATTAGCTATAGGAACGCGACCTTTGTTTTTAACGTCTGCTGCTTTGAGATACACAAATGAAGCCGAATGAATATCATGAAAACAAAACTGGGTGACGAGAGGATGTTCTCGTTTTTTGTTATTTTTTTTCCTGCGACCATTTGATACATCCTGAAGACGTTCTGCTGCTTGCATGGTATTTCTTCTGAGTCATTTATTTTCCACTAAGAAGGTAACATTGGTGACTTACTTCAAATGTCAACAAGCATCATTAATAATGAATTCAGATCCGAGCTCATGTTGCCCAATTAAATAGTTCTTTCATCAGATCAAATGGCATTCAGGCCTTTTTTGTGCACTTTTCTTGACGCTATTTTAAAAGTCATCCTCGTGTTGTTTTTTTAAATAATAAGTGAAGTAGATGCTCTCTTTTGTGATAGACTTTAATGCTAGCTTTAAATGGCAACATGATGCAATTTAAAGAAAATAGAAGTGGCTGTGATGTAAGGAGAAATGCAATTAGTTATCCTTCCTGGGATTCTGGAAGTGGGTAAATCCTATGCTAGGTGCCCACTTCAAGCGTTCAGAGACCTGGGGGGCTGCATCCAAAAGGCAGTGCTCAGCAGACTGGGGATTAGGTTCCTGGCTTGGCCTTGTTGCTATGCACTGACTGGTGGACATGAGTTAGTTTCCTGGATCTTACCTCTTTAGCCCAAAATATTTGAGGTGTAAACAAGATGACCTCTGAGCTTCCTTCCTTTCAGCTCAAAAATTCTATAAGCTAGCCCAACTCCCTCTAAAGTTCATACAAACTTTGAGTCTTATTTCCATCAATGTGAGAAACTGAAAATTCTGTTCGAATACAAAAATGTGTTGGTCTTCCCAGAACTTATGTTAAGCTGTTCAAGACCTAGCAATAGACTTGTAGGCTAATTGGGAAATGACAGAGATTTATTAGGAACATTTGGGGGTTTCCGAATCATTGCACAGAGCAGAACAATACTTTTATAGAGTTTCTCTTCAGGGTGCTCCTTGACGAGGAGAGCACGCGTCATGGTTTTGTGGCCAGTTCTGATTGCCTTGCCAGTTCAGGGTTTTGTGGAGTACTTTTTATATTCTGTGTGTTCTGATCCATGGTTTCCTCAAGTGTGAAATGAACAATGCCTATTTCAGAGGGTTATTCTGAAAAGGGACCCTATAGTGAAAATTATCTTGTCTATCAGAGATATACTGATATGTAACAAATCATGCCAAGCCTTAGTAACTTACCAAAACCACCATGTTATTACTCATGTGGCCTGGGAATTTGGAGAGAGCTCACAGGGGTCTGCTCATCTCTGCTCTACGTGGTGTTGGCCACTGGCTCAGTGCTTGTCCATGTGGCGTCTCTTCCTCTCCCCACATGGCTTCTCTACCCAATGGGATAGGCTGGACTTCTCAGCATGCTAGCGGGATTCCAAGAATGAAAGCTGGTCTTGGTATGAGAGTCCCAGAAAGCCATTTCTGCTGCTTTCTATTGGTCAAAGGAAGTAACCAGTGCAACCCAGATTCAAAGACTGGGGAACAGACTCTACCTCTTGATGGGAGGAACAGCAAAATGACTTTGCATTTGGCATGGACACAAGAAGGCTGGATTCACTGGGGGCCATTTTAAGCCACCAACCACACCTCAAATAAGGCGAGGCACGTAGTGGGCACTAGGTGAATGTATTACATCCTACCTGTGGCAGTTTCATCAGAATTCAACCTTGTTAGATAGGCAGCACATATTAACTCTGTGAGTTGGGGAAACTCAGAAGAAATGGTGTGTCAGCTGCCTGAATTCATACAGTCAATAAGTGATAACTTAGGACTTGAACAGAGCTTTTCTGACTCCAAGTTCTCTATTCTTTCTACTATAAATAATTCCTGGCAGATTGGAAAGAAAATGAAACATGGAAGGTGAAAATGCCATGGCCAGGAAGTCTTCCATGGCTTTGCTATTTTAGAGAATATTTTAGAAAATGCACTTTTTGGGAGCCAAAGGTTGGTTGGAAACAATGAAAGAAGAATCTTTACTGTGTTTCTTAGATATCCTTCTCCAAAATTTAATTACACCTGGGGCAACTTTATAACTGAGCTTTAGACATACATTTATCAGTAAATGAGTTCTTGGAAATATGTCCAAACTTTCACATCGCTTCAGCTTCAACCAAGAAGTAGTCTTCATAGACAGAGAAAAGAGGTAAAGATATTAGAGTTGAGTCAGACATGATCTGATATCTATGCCTGTAATGGTCTCCCGAATTCAATTTCTGTTCATTCTTTTCCTCCTTCAAGTTTGGTATCAAAACGATGACTACTTTCAGCAAGAATGCAGAATAAAAACCAAAGGAAAACTATTTTAAAAATATTTTCTACAATAGAGTATTCATTATAGTGCAAGCCATTATATCATGTTTATATAATACTTAACATCAGGTCCGGGAACCCTTTATGTAAAAAGTGCCATACAAAGGTTTTCATTCTTGCGTGACAGTTCTTATTATTGTCATTATTTTGATTGAGTCCCTTGTTGAACTCTGAATTCTATTTGAACCTGAAACGGTAATCAAAACCGTGGGCTATTGGATAATCCCCGTGAATGTGACTGCGAAGTTTTCACGAGAGCCCTGCAGACTGAACCCGCTGAATTTAGAATAGTTCTCATTCCAGGAGAAAGAAGCAGATGTCCCAAACCAAACACACTCAGTTTAATATACTTTTACATTGGCTTTAATGGACAGATGTTTTGACTATGACATGGCAAGACAAGGATTTGAAATGGTGGATTGGAAAGATTTTGTTCATAAAAGTAATTGCTCTTACATTACAAAGTGAAGGATTTACATGTGGAAAATGTCAGCCTGTAGCAGCATCTCATGACGGATTGTGTTACCTCCAGCCATGGAGTTCACTAGAAATAACCAACTCACATCTGAGGGGCCCTTTTAATAGGCATCACATAGAGAATGGCAGGGATGGGGAGCCTCAAATCGAGAGTCATTCTAGTTATGCAGTTGATCCTTGATTATACACTTTCAGGATTATCTGGGACTTTTTTTTCCTCCCATCAGAATTTGACTTCTGCCTACATATTGCTTTACGAGCTAAAAGCAACGCTGACATGCCAGGCACTATCCGAAGAGCTTTACACGTAGTAATTACCTACTTTATCCTCATAAGAACTCCTAAGAAAAGGTGAAAAAAAAACAAGATGTACGGAGAAGCCCTGTAACTTGCTCAAGGCCATGCTGCTAGTAAATGACAAAGACAGACTACCTCGGTCTAGCTTGAGTCTACGTTCTTAACTCATACTTTGTTCTCTGCTCTTATTCAACAGGTGGTGGGAGTTCTGTCTAACTATTTGCATGGCTCAGAAATTTCTAAAGAGAGGCTGACTCGGATAAGTGAATCTATCGCCCCAGAACTTCGCGTGCTACTATCTCACTTATGTGGAAGTCACGCACCAGCAAACCCATTCCAAAACTGAGAAGTCAGAAGAGTCTTCGAGCCCAGGATAGTCACAAAGCCCTTGCACCGATTCCCAGCACTGCGCCCCTTGGGCTCACCTTCCTAATGCTTATTTTGACAAATAAGAGATGAGAAGGAAAGGGACAGAAAAATGTTAGAAAATATAAACCTATTTGTCCTACTATATGGCATAATTTAAAAACTTACAATGATGGCTCTGAATTGTTCACAAAAGGTTGACTAATGTTCACTCTCTTTTAGAAGGCAGGCGGATTGACTATGTATGCGAAAAGGCCTTTCCTCAGAAATTTTCAAATGTTTAGGCTTTGTTCTGCATTGTCTATCGTGAGAGATCTTATTCGTAGGATACCACATTCCCGGCCACGCCAACCGACTAAGTAAAAGACGCAATCACTGTGGAAAGAACGCTGGGTGAGTTGGAGGCACTCTCCCACTAGCTTGCTGATAAATGATCTGGGCGGGTCATTCATCCTCTCTGTGCCTCAAATTGCTTATATGCCTCCCTCAAAGAGTTACTGTAAGGATTAAATGAAATAATGTATGAGAAAGTGCCTAGTACGGAGCGTGTTCTCAATAAATATTTGTTAGAGAAAAAAGTAGCACTGCATTCCAACATCAAAGATAAATTATTTTTGAGTTATGCTTTGGATATTGCTTGTGTAATAATACCTATGCAGAAATATGGACAGAGGAACAGAGTGATTGTCTTGATTCTTCAATAATTACATTATGTTCTTTTTAATTTATCCAACCTTTTTTTTTTTTGTCTTTCATCTACTTTGAAGAATATAACTATTCAAGGACAGAATTCTTCTCTTTGATAAAACCCAGATGCATTAAGGCAAGATGCATTTCCTGCAGAGGCTCATTCAGGGACCAACGGTGTCCAAGAACTCTCTCCTCTTGTAATTCCACCACACCTCCATTTTTGTTTCTCTTGGCAAGTAGGGATGGAGCACGGACCTTTGCTCATATGGATACTTGTGACAAGAGAATGACCGAGAAAGAAGTAATGTTGGATAAATCAAAAATAACATCATGTTTACCTCGTAAGGTTATTAAGAGCATCAAAGGAGATAATACACATGAAATTATTGAGAGTTATAATCTTTATCGACCTGATACAGAATAATCACTCAAATAATGTTTTCTATTCTTTAATTCATTCAGCTTTTTGAAAATAGCTTTACTGAGGTATAATTGCTATGCAAAAAAATTATACATATTTAATGTATACACTTTGATGAGTTTGGGCATACATGTACACCCATGATACCACCACCACAGTCAAGGTGATAGTCCGTGACTCAGGTGTCATCTCCCTATTGAAGACGTATAAATATTTTCTTGTCCCATTAATTTTTCTCTTCTTTGAAGTCCTTCATTTTTGACCATTATTATTGCACTATTTAACTTTTGTTTATATTCCATGGTATATTATTAGTTTAATATGGTTTTTCAAATCATATAACAGACTTTGGGTCAAAGACAATATCGTTCACTTATTTTGTATCCTTCACAGTTCCGTGTACAATACTGAACACAAGACAGACCCTTAAGAGTCTCTTTGGTGTTTGATTAATTAATCGGAAAGAAGTATTTAAGAACAAATAGGGCTGATCTGATTTGGAATTTCAAGAAAAATGGAAAGAGGAAATGACTCAAATAAGAAACCAGGAAGCAAGGGTTGGAGAAGGAAAATCACTCAATTTGCTGATGACTGAATGTCAAAATCTGGCAGAATTTGGTGGAAAGGCTGACATGCTTTTCCAGCTGAGTGAGGGGGGCAGAATTACTTGAATCCCCGGTAAGTAAGAGCCTCCTACACCTGGGATAGGCTTGTGTCTGCTTGGTGTCCGCCCCCGACCTGCACCCCCTACCCCCTTGGTAAACTCTCAGAACAGGACTATTATAAGACTGCATCCTGAGAACAGTGATTGACGCAGAGATCATCAAGAAAAAACAGCATCAGAGTGTGGGGATTTTGCAAAGGCAGTCACTTGTGTCGCTGTGTACTGCATTCTCACTCTCCCGCTAACGGGAAAGTGAAATTTCAAGTCAGCGCTTTCCATCATGGCCAACCCGTTTCTTCTCTCATTTGCTTAAGGCATCAGACGGAGCAGACTTCAGCTGGAAATCATGTCGGGCTGATTCTAGGCCACAGCATTGGACCAAAACAAGTGGATGATTGAGCCAAAGCCTAATTTGTTTACCCCCCTGCTGACAGAGAGCAATGTTCGTGCTTACTTCTGAGGCAGCAGTGTGATGTGGAGTTCAAGACTTCTGAAACTCTGCACAGATAAAGTGATATCATTCGGTATTTTTCTTTCTCCTTCTGGTTTACTTCACTTAGTTCAGGATTGGCAGATACACATTACTGTATATAAAGTAGATAAACAACAGGGACCTACCGTATAGCACAGGGAACTCTATTCAATACCTTAGAATAACCTATAATGGAAAAGAATATGAAAAGGAATATATATATATATATATGTATAACTGAAACATTACACTGTACACCAGAAATTAACACAACATTGTAAAAATAAAATAAAATAAAATAGTTCTAAAAAAAGAGTTCTGACATATTAACACACCATGCAGGCTCAGAAGCCCATCCATCCCTCATTCTTTTGTTGGCGAATATATTGGGGATTTCACTTCACACCATTAAATGCAAGAAGGGAGGCGGCTCTGACCTTGTATCTTTACCCGAGCATGCCTCGTAAACAGAAGTGGCCTCTCTGGCAGGCTAGTGGCTCTGTCTAAAGCCCCTGTTTACTTAATCCGAACGTCTGTTTCTTTCCTGCTCGGGCTGCAAGCGAAATGAAATGAAAAAGTGTGTCAGAATTAGAACTATATGAGTCTGAAAAAGACATTTGGGTGACTGAGTCGCTAAAAGCACCCTCTGTTTACATGTTTTCGCAGTTTGTCACGGCAGCTGTGTTACAGCTTATAACAACTAATCTCTTTTTATTTGTATCTTACTTTATTTAATTTTGTATTAAGGGTTCTTTTAAGCCATGTCTTCCAAATGTGTCTGAGGTTTCAGAACTGTCTTAGGAGCGTATGCACGTGAGAGTGAAGGTGGTGGACCTCCTCCAATCTGGATTTTGTTAAGAGCATCTTTAAGGAGAGTCTGTAGGACAATCAAAATGTGTTCATCTGTATTTGAAAACTTGATCCAGTTAAAAACTGGCTTCCCGTCCACTTGTGTTTTGCCCAAGTTTCCAGCGTCTCGGAGCTGGGTTTACTGGAGAGGCGCATGAAGGAGGTGGTGGGGAGGAGAGGGCCTGGAAGTTAGGCTAGATTTTAGGCCTCTGGGCTGATGTCCTCTTAACATAACCCACGTTCCGCTCCAGGGGGAGGTGATGCACTGAGGGCTGGAAATGGGGCTTGAGCAAGTATACTTTTCATGCTCAGCAAAGCCTAACGTCATTTCACCATGCCGTCTGAGTTATGTGTGTGCTTTTCATAAATCGATCCTCACCAAAAAAATAAATAGATTTGTTCTGCTCAAACTGGCAGAGGGCTTGGGGAGGGGAAAAAGAGTCTTTAACACCTCTTGGGGGTTGGAAGGTAACTTCACTCGCCAGCTTCATGTCAGGAACGTGGGTAACAATCGGACGGGAGGCCAGCGGATCCTGTCCCGGCCTCGGGAGGAGACCGGGCCCCGAGCACAGGGATGTGGGTCTGAAGGCCGAGCTTCCCGCCCAGCAGGGGGTAGCCACGCGCCGGGAACTGGGAAGGGATTCCACTCACAGGATCCTCGCCTCCGCGCCAGCAGCCCGGCTCTCAGCTTCTAGAAGCTGGCCTTCCTTGTCAGGGCTTCGATTATTCACTCCAACAGGAGCCACGCACCTGAGGCCTTCGCCTGAGAGCTGGGGCCTCGGGGACGATCCTGTTGCAGAGGATCCCAGTGAAGGGGTGCGGGCCGGCACGCATCTGCCCAAGGCTCGGGGTGAAAACTGGGGGCCCGGAGGCGAGGTGTCCTTTTCCTTCTGACTCTTTTTCCTGCTCTCCCAGGGGCAGAAGCCCAGAGTTCCCTGAGGAAGGAGGGAGAGAGACCAAGAGGTCAGGCCGGTGTATGCGCATGTGTGAATGTATGTGCTTGGGGTGGGGTATGTGTGATATGAGTGTGTGTGAGTGTGTGTGTATGTGAATACATGGGTTGTGATGGGCTACCTGTGCAGGGTGTGTGTGTGTGTAAGTGTGTAAGTGAGTGTGTGAGCAGTGTGAACACATATGTTGAGGGTGGGGTATGAATGTGATATATGAGGTGTGTGTGGGAATACATGGGTTGGGGTAGGATATGTGTGGTGTGTGAGTGTGTGTGTGAACACATGGGTTGGGATGGGGTGTGTGTGATATGAGTGTGTGTGAGTGTGTCTCCTATGTGTGTGAATACCTATGTTGGGGTTGGGTATGTGCGATTGTGTGTGTGTGTGAATACACAGGTTGGGGTGGGGTGTGTGATATATGAGTGTGTGTGTGTGTGTGTGTGTGTGTGTGTGTGTGTGGTGTCAGAGGGGCCTATGGACAGAGTCCCCAGCGTCTCCCCTGTGAAGACTGGGCTCCACCAGGGAGAGGGGAGGGGAGAGGAAGGGAGGGAAGAGGAAGATTGTGGAGGGGAGGGTTGGGGAGGGGGCCCCAGGATAGCAGGTTAGGGGCACAGCGCTGGCGCTGTGCTGGGCGGGGGAGAACCAGGGCTGAACCTGGGCAGCTGGGAAGGCTGAACTTGGCTGCAGGGAGGAGGAGGAGGAGGGGGAGGAAGAGGAGGAGAGGAGGAGGGGGAGGGGGAGGAGGAGGAGGACAAGGTCACTGCCCTGCATCACTCGCTGTGGCTGTGGAAGGAGTCGGGCCTGCAGACCGCTGGCTCCGAGCGAGAACATTCCAGCCCGGTTTCCCCAGCCCGCTTCACCTTGTTGCTTCCCACTCAGGCCATTTTCGGTTGACGCTGCTTTTCTTTGTTCTGTTTTCTGCCAGTGCAGTGAACCCTGACATTATGGGTTTCTGTTGTAGTTCTAACCTCTAATACACCACCATTACATCTTATCTCGTCTTCTAAATGACTCTAAAATCCAATTATAAACCCCCCTCTCCTTCAAGAGCACACGACTTGCCACATTACTGAAAGTCTGGGCTGTTCTTTTGTTTTTCTAAATTAATAATAACTACCATTTTCCGTCTGCTCTTAGCGTGGGAGTCTTTTATATCACCCCACAGCTTTCCAAAATGCGTATTATGATTCTTTCTTACATCTTTGCTGGGCTACAAAAGAGCTAAGGATGATTTTCTAGATATTCATAAAAGATCTGTCAGTTGGTTTTTAGTATCAAAACATTTGAAATCCTGCAATCCTTAAAAGAGAAAGCATTTTAAAATTTAGCAGTTAAAATTTCACCAGTGCTTTGCCATGGTATAGTGAAATACAAGCCTGTCACTTGGAAGGTTTTAAAAGGTTACAATGGATTTTGTTTGTTAACATTTTTATGGATTGGAAACCCTTAGTCCTACTAAGGTTTCAAAAGTACGAGGAATTTTTTTTTTTTTCCAATCCAACACCCATTGTGAGTTTCTCGAAACTACAGGAGGGAAGTGACCATCTTAAAGACAGATTCAACATTTGTTGAATACAGAATATTTTAGTAGAAGTGACCATGCCAAGAACATTTTCGGGAAAACGTTAGTGAGATTATCCTCAATGACTTTTTCTGACAGAGGGGGTAATTGTGGTTTGTAATAGAAAAATGCTTTTAAGGAAAATATGGTAAATTCAAATTCGATATCAGAAAAAAAAACCCAAAAGAAATCTTGTTTCATAATATAACACTTGTTTTACTGTTTTATAATCTCAGGCATGTAATTGAACTGCAATTGCTTTTCTTACTTGCAAATTCTTACTTTTAGTCTTGGGGACAAAGTGTATTTGACACTCCTAAGGCATCTGGTTATGCAGCAACTAAATATGCCTGATGTGCAATTATTGAAAATACTTATATGGTGATCAGCCGCTATACATTTTACTTCACAAGCTTGGCCAATGTTCAGTGGAGCTTTTTCATGTAAATTCTGCACTTAAGAATCCTTTTTTTTACCAGGGGGGTAGAGGGTGGGAAGGGATAGACTGGGATTTCAAAATTGTAGAATAGATAAACAAGATTACACTGTATAGCACAGGGAAATATACACAAAATGTTATGATAAATCACAGAGAAAAAAATGTGACAATGAGTGTGTATATGTCCATGAATGACTGAAAAATTGTGCTGAACACTGGAATTTGACACAACATTGTAAAATGATTATAAATCAATAAAAAATGTTAAAAAAAGAAAGAATCCTTTTTTATGCCCAGGCTTTAGCTGCTTAGGATAAAGAAATTATAAAATGTTGGAAAGATTGGAAACGTTCTAAAGTGCATGTTGAATCTCAGTCGAACATTGAAATAATCACATCTCTAGTTAGGTATTTTGTATGTTTGTTGTGCCTGGAAGTTAAATCTTTGTCCCCTGAAATATTAAATACATGAAAGGTTGGTTGTTCTTCTTTAATAAGTTAACTCTAGTTAGGTGTTTTCAGAGAACAGAGTGAAACCAAGAGAGAAGATGAAGAGGGTGCAACTGATGAGGGACCACTTGGAATGTACAAGCTGAGACGAACCAGGAGGACGTATGTGGTGGTCACTAACCAGCAGCACCAAATGCATGTTGATGCTGCCCTGATCGCTATCCTGAGCGGGACTCGGGGGAAAATGGAGAGCAGGAAAAAGAAAATCATAGACTGACGTAAAACACACAAACATAGTTTTTCAGTCATAGTAATCAGATATTACATATTGAGTAGTTATGCATATGCAAATATATGTTATGTATTGTATGTTTTTTAATTGTCTTGAGCAAATAGGCTCCACAGTCTTAATTTTATCACAATGAAAGCCTCATTCTGCCCTTTAACATTTCAACAGTACAAGTGAAGTCTCCTTCCTTCTGTTTTTTCTCTTTTCAAATTTTCCAGTGAAAATAAAAGACAAGATTATTTTTCCCTTGTATTTCTAAATTCTGAATATTATCCTGTAGTTTCCATGCAGATTAGACACTATTCATTTTGTTGGACAGAATCTAGTCCAACTCACCGTTTCCTTAAAGTTTATATGTTTTAATGATTGACATTATTTACCTTGCTTAGAAATATATATACTGAAACATTCTACTGATATGTTCTTTACGGCTCTCTGATTTTTTTTTTCACTCCTAATTTTTAATGAGTTTTCAATCATCTGGACAAAGCAGATTCAATTCAAACAACTGGAATATTTGGGTAGCCCTTGTAGAATTGCTTTTTTTAAATACAGAATGGGTTTCCTATCATGTGGAACTATTGTGTAGCAAACTGGAAAAGAAACATTCAAATTTATGACTGTATTATTTTGCATACTTCATGGGGCTTCATTTTTAAATTAAGATTTGGGGGACTTGGTGGCAGGTTAATACGCAGACTATGTGATCTCTAAGCTCTTTAAAATAATCTGTTCTATCTGCTAAACAAATTGCAAGTGACTGTGATTTGTGACATTTGAAAAAGAATATCTAGAAGATCAACATAGTGTCCTAATTTATAAGCCACCTCCAGCGGGTCTTTGAAGTTTTGTGTCGATTTGGAGACAGACCAGGTCTTGGACCACAGGAGCACCCTTTGGGGTGATGTAGCAGTAAATTACTCTGTAGGACCCCGGGGGGCCCAGAAGGGTTAAAGCAGCTCCCAGCAAAATGGAACACCTGGCCAGTAACTCAGGCCGGAGGACGGCCTGATTAAATCTGTCACAAGCATGTCTCAATTGTGATTTTCAAAGAGCAAGATGCAACAGTGCAGCCAGACTTTTCCCCTCTTCCTTTGCATCTCAGCTTCTAAGGGACTGAGCGCTGGTGCCCCTCCCTTCAGCTCTGCAGCACTGGGAGATTATGATGGTCTTAAAAATGAAAGCCTATAATTTAAAGTCATAATTCCACCTTTAAAATGGAGATTGAAATACAGTAATATAAAATACATAAGGCACCAGGATGTAGCAGATGTCTCCTCCCATTAGAGTTCTCTATTTACAAGGCGGACAGTAATATGAAGTCTATTTTCCAGAAGATTGTGTAGCCTCTCCATGTAAAACTGAGCAAGCGTTCTCCACTAGACCCAAATTTCTTTTAATGCCAACTAAATGAAATTTCCTGGCCCTAAAATAAGAGCAAATACAATAAAATTTAAAAGCCCAGAAAAGGAGGCTTCAGTTTTCTAAGATAGGGAATATTTCTTAGAAAACAAGATCGTGAAAAGTTGGATGAAAATGAATATACAGTCTGTATTTCCCTTACCATGCCAATAGTTTACCAAAAACATAAAAAATGTTAAGTACAGAAAAGGATTCCCGTGGCAGCTCCTTGACTTCAGAAACAAAGGAACTCAAGACATTTGGCCAACTCAAAACATCCCCTCCCCTGCCTTTTATAATCGTGTTTATGTCTATTTCTGTAACACTCCAGAGCTTTTCCATGATGCTGTGTACT